GCCACGTGAGCGCCGCGGCCGCCGCTCCTCACCTGCCGTCGGTGGCCAGCGCCTCCGCGCCTCCGCGCCCGGGAGCGAGGCCGGGCCGAGGACCTGACACCCGCGCGCCTCAGCAGCGCGCCTCCCGGCGGCCCGCGGCAGCGCCGAGCGTCGGAAGCGCCTCCGCTCAAACCGGTTTCAGCTGCTCCAGACCAAACTGCCAGGCCGGCCCGCGGGGCGGGGCCTGACCTCACGCCCGGCGCCGTCTCGTCCAATCAGCGGCCGCGCGCGGGAGGCGGGCTCGCACGTTCCTGGAAAGGGGCCACGACGGCGGCCGACGGTGGCCGAGGATCCCCGGGTTCCCTCCGGCAGCCTTCTGCTGTGACCCCTACACCGGGTCGTGAACTCCTACTGGGGTTTGCCCGGGCATCGTTAGGGACAATGAAATGTGGAGGCTAAAGCTGCAAGTTTGAATTCCCATTTTCTGTCATTTAAAAACGGAGACCTGGGTGTAGAGAGGCGCACTATTAATCCCTGCACTGAGAGGCCAAGCCAGGAGGCCCATTGAGCCCAGGCTGTGAAGATATGCCGGCTGTCTCAAAAAATAAGTGTGTGATGGAGCTCAGTGTGACGCAGCAGGGCTCGATCCCCAGTAAACCTCTACACACGCGCGTACCCTAATGTTTTCTAAAAGCTTTTTAGGCCAAATAACAAGCACACTTGGATCAAATTATTAAAACTGAAAATAAGAGCCAGGCGTGATGGCGAGCGCCTGCAAGCCCAGCACTCGGGAAACAGGCAGGAGGATCGCTGCAAATGGGAATTCAGCCTGGGCTACATAACAAGAGCTCGTATATGCACACCACCCACCTTTATGGGAGATGGTTAACAGTCTCCTACAGGGAGAGCTCAATCCCCAGTTGGTTCTCCTATGCCTTCTGAAAGATGTGTGGCTTCCCTGGATGCTTTCCATAGCATTTAAGGCCTTATCAGACCAGTTTATATTGCAGTTTGGATTTGATCCTGGGACATTTCTGAAGATGTCACCACTCAGTAAACAGGATACAAGGTTTGTTTTGGTTTGGTTCTATTTGGAGGGTGGAGTTCTGTTTTTGTTTCATTTTGGTGGTTCTCATTTAATCTAAAATTCCTTAAAAAAATAAATAAATAAATAAAATTCCTTAAAGGAGAGCCAGGTTTGGTGGTGCATGCCTGTAATCCCAGCACTCAGGAAGCTGAGGCAGAAAGATGGTTGCAAGTTCAAGACCAACCTGAACTGCATAGTGAGACCCTGTCTCCAAAAAAATTTAAAAAAAAAAATCTTCAAAGAATTAAAGTTTCCTTGGGGCTAGGGAGATGGCTCAGTGGAATAAGCGCTTCCCTGGCAAGCACAAGGGCCTGAATTCAATCCCTGGTTCCGCCAATAAAATAAAGTTTCCTAGCATTGCATGGCAGTGCATAGTGATCCTCCAGCCTCAGCCTTCCAAATGTTCAGATGACGGGCATGCACCACCCTGCCTGGCCTGAAATAACCATTTAATATTGGCTCTCCATACATTGTCCCACATTGACAGATGCAGTCAACCATCCAGGGGAAAAAACTGTATCTGTGCTAACCAAGCACAGACTTATTCTTTCACTAAAGAATACGGTCTAACAGCTATGAACTTAGCATCTGCATTGTATTGGGTAGATTAATCTAGAGATGATTTAAAATATAAGTGGACTATGCATAAATGTAAATACTAGATGTAAATATAAGGTCCTTTGAGACAGGATCTCACTACGTAGTCCAGGCTAGCCTTGAACTGACACTGATTCTCCTGCCTCAGCCTCGCCAGTGTTGGGATCATAGGTGTGCCTAAGCTACTATTATTAATCCACCTAACAGAAAAGGAAACAAAGACCATTGAGACTGAATAACTTAGCTGGTTATTCAGCTTGGCTTCCTGCTTGATTCAAACTGCTAATACACCTGGGATCTCAGTTTTATGGCTTAGAGGATGCCAGCTTTAGAGTTTACAAAGCCGAGATAGCATCTGCCTCATCAAAGGTAAGACCACAACCGGGAAGGCGTCTTGTGTGAAACACCTGCTTAGAGAGAACAATACTGTTGTTCACAGTGCTTTCCTGGCGCCCAACACAAGGAGAACTGACTCCTGAGGAAACCCTCAGGGAGTTGCTCTGGCGCTGACTCTGGACAGCTCCCCGCCGTGAGCCCCCTCCTCAGCTGGGGCTGGCGCCAGGCAGGGATCAGCCGGGAGGTGGCCACGCTGGCTGCGCTCGCTGTGCCCGAGAGCCTGTTCTGCAGTAGTGTCCATGCGCAGGGCCTCCCGACCCAACCTTGACCCATACTGGATTCACTCTGGGTATTTATCTCCACTGCATCACCCAGAGCTCAGCGCTGCGGGTCGGAGCTCCCAGCTGTAATCTGTGCGAATTCCAAGAAGGCAAAACAGCCCTGGAGAAAGTCTTCCCATTTCGCTGTTTCTGTCTGAACCAGGCAACACAGTATATGATGTACATCTCCCAGGGTGGGTGCGAGCCCCCTCTTCTCTGCTTTTGAAATCTGTGTGCTACATGTTGTTATTCAAAAGAGCCAGATTGATACTTTTTTTAATTTTTATTTTTATCAGTACATATTTGCAATACAGGATTACATTCCTTGTGGGGAATTGGGTCATGCACATAACATCTCAATTCTTTTTTATGGCCCCTCCTTCTTCCAAAACAATACTTTTTATAAATAGCCCACTCTGGTGTACTTGAGCCTTGGAGTTGCTGTTGCATTAGCCAGACAAAAGCTCTTCTAAGGGACTATGGTTTGTAAGAATGATCCACATAGAAGAATTAAGATTTCATGAATGTAAGATTCCATCAGAGTGTTGGGCCAGGCATGATGGTGCATGCCAGTAATTCCACCACTGTACCTGGGAGGCTGAGACAGGAAGATCTAATGCTTGAGTCCAACCTGGACAATTTAGGGACAGCCTGTCCCAAAATTTAAATTAAAAAAAAAATTGCCAGGTGTGATGACATATGCACATAACCCCAGCAGTCAAGAGACTGAGGCGGGAAGGTCAGCTGGACCATCACCGTTTGAGGCCAGCCTAGGCTATACAGTACAGTTCAAGGCCAAGCTGACCTACATGGTGAGACCTGCCTCAAAAAGAAAAAAAAAAAAAAAGATACCCAGCATAGTAGGATTTTTGTCATTGTTCTTTTGTTGTTTTCTGAGACAAGGTCTCAGTATGTAGTTCAGGTTGGCCTCTTGGCAATCCTCCTGCCTCGGCCTCCTGACTGCTGAGATTACAGGCATGTGCCATGCCCAGCAAGAACTCATTTCTTTTTTTTTTTTTTTTTGCGGAACCAGGGATTGAACTCAGACCCTTGCACTTGCTAGGGAAGCACTTATTCCACTGAGCCATCTCCCCGGCCCCCAAGAACTCATTTCAATAATGAGTTTAACAAGTGGCTTGCAAAATTTTAAATAAACAAATGGCTCCTGGGAGCCCGTAGAGACTGGTTGTCATACACCTTAGGAGAAGTATTGCCATGAAAAACTGGCTTAGTTCTCCTGGGCCCTGCCACAAGTGGTATAGACAGGGAGCAGGACCAAAGAAGCCCAGTGTTGATCGAAATCCAAGCTTATTGTTAGAGGGCTGCCTCCAGGGACATGAGTTTTGCATGCTTGCTGGCTTGTCCCATTTGGGGCAGTGACATAGGATACTTCTGGGCAGATAGGAGGATCCAGGACCCATAAACACACAGGTGACCTCCAGGGCAGCAGGCTCAGGATGAGGGTGGGGACCAATAGGACCTGCATCCTGGAAAGCAGGATCTTGTGCGCATGGGCCTGTGTGGTGTGCAGTGGACCCAGGCTTGTACACGCTGGGTCAGCGCTCTAAAGCTGAACCTCACCACCGGCCTGGAAATGGAAACTCTGAATGTGTGCACCAGGGTTCAGGAACAGAGCTCTGAGTGCCTTCAAAAGAGACCTCCAAATCAGGCGTGGTAGCTCACACCTGTGATCCCAGCACAGCAGAGGCTGACTCAGGAGGGCCACTTGAAGTTCAAGGTCAGCCCAGGCTACATAGTGAGTTCAAGGCTAGCAGGGTGGGACCAGGTCTCAAAAAACAGAGGGCCGGGGAGATAGTTTAGCAGTCTAAGCACCTGCCTGGCAAGCACAAGGACCTGGGTTTCATCACTGGTACCATATGCTGTTCTGGCCCTACCCCAGGCCCTCCAAGCTGGCCACTACATGTCTGTAATCCCATCACTAGAGAGGTTGAGACAGAAGGATCACCAGGAGTCTGAGCTGTATAGCAAGACCCTATATCAAAAAAGAAAAAGAAAAAAAGACTTTAACAAAAAAAAAAAAAAAAAAGACAGGACCCAAGTTCGATTCTTAGTACCCACCTTCTCCCCGCAAAAGACCCAAAACTATACACAGGAGGGGATGCATGTTTCCCCAGCTCCCGAGCTGGACTGGTAAAGATTCTAGGGCTTGGGGTGCAGTTTTCCCTGCAGTTCACTCTGACTCCCAGCCCCCAACCTGTCTGTCCACATGGCTGCACTAGACCCACAGTCAGGGCCTATGCATGACAGAACCTCAGCCCTCAGCTCTGGAGGCTGGGAGGCCGGAGATGAAGGTACAGCAGAAGTGGGGTCCAGGCACGGCAGCCCCCTGAGCAGCCCCCTCATGCGGGCTGGCACTCCTGGCCTGACCTCATCTTGGCCCTCCCTTGTGTGTGACCTGCTCAGGTCCCCAGGCCCTGTCCCTCATCCCATACAGAGTGGACTTCCATAGGTGATGGGGGGATGTCAGTCAAGCTGCAGTGCTGTCCGCGCTAGTGCTCTCCAGCACTCTAGCTGTGTGCTCCCCAAGGGCTCTACAGGGGCAGTGCGTGCTGCAGTAGCCCCAAGGGAGAGTATGAGAGCCAGCAGCTCCCTCGCCATACATTCAGAACACAGACCCTGTGACCCCATCTATCACCTCAGGTATTTGAGCTAGATTTATTTTGTTGAGATAGATTCTAGCTATTGTAGTTCAAGCTGGTTTTGAACTCAATATGGAGCCCAGGCTGGCCTGGAACTCATGGCAATCCTCCTGCCTCAGCCTACTACAGGTGTGCACCACCATGTTGGCCCACTAAATAATTTGTTTTCCATACTAGGAATTGAACCCAGGGCCTTTGCACTGAGCTATATCCCTGCC